CCTCTAGAGCATTCAGCTACCTCTAAGTATAATGCTTCTCAAATACAAGATTGCGCAAAGATGTTTTACTGAATAAGGCACACTTATTAAAATTACATCATCGTTAATATAATAAACATATAGAAACTACCGTACTCAGAGCTTCACAAACCCCAAATATAGAGTTGCCTTGCTACCACTAACACATAGGTACATTACATTCCTGCGAGCACCCTCAACGTTTGATACCACTGCCTTTCAGGAAGGTATGCTTTCTTTTGTGCTGTTTACTAATTATTCTCATCTAGTCCATAAAGCCTTTTCCAGTGCCCTTCCCTCTGAGTTCCTACGGCAATTATGATATAGATGCGTCCTCTGGCATTTCTCAAGCGCCGTCTCCTGCTATTAAGTAGAGCTTGTTTTGCACGCTGCTATGCCTCATCTCTCCAACTGCATTATAAGCAACTCAGGAATGTTATGTGTCTTTGACTCTCCCTAGTGTTTAATAAGGTGTCTTGAGTTAGATTATAAGCTCCTTGAGGGAAGGGACTTCATCCATTATTTTGTTTTCCAAGGTAGCTCCTAGAACTCTACCCTGACATATAGCATACAATTGGTAAATATTTACTGAATGAAGGAAATCATATTCACACTAGGTTCTCAAGAGATACTTGGTGGGTTGAATAATAGTACTACTAACCTACTATCAGCCTGACCTAGGTTTGAATTAATTTTCCAACAGCAATGTGATTTTCATGAGTAATTCCAGATTAGTTCATGACTTTATGACTTGTACTGCCCTAGGACACATGAAGAACCCAAACACACAAAAAAGTAGAAATCAGAGTTTTTATCCCCGAGGAATCCATGCCTCATTTCCATGTCTCAAGTACTGCAGCCTTCCTCTTATTACACCCTTTTCTCATCCAAGCATATGCCTTTGTAAGGGGGTTATCTTGCCAAAGATGAGGGCTATTGTTTTACATTGGAATTTAACCCATACCAGTTAGCGCAATGATACAGCCAACTGGGATCCTCTTGCAGGGATGGGAACCAAGGAAAATCAGGGCTATTGGCTTTGGTGTGCATTCCAGGGGGTGGGGATGGCAAGCACATCCCTTTCTGCTAAGATCATCAACTCTCAGAGGCGCCCACTGGAAATCCCCTGTCCTATTCCTCCATCTAAGTTCACAGTTAAGAGGAGAATGTCCACTCTTCATTTCCCACACTACCGTGGCTGGTAAAGTCTAGTAGTTCGCGTGCTTTCTCCTGTTTGTTTTTCTGCAAAATCACTGGACTTCTCCAGCAGTAGATTTCCTGGGAAGGGGTCCCTTCCACGACAGGGAAGCGCCTAGCAAGGGGCTCACCCTCCACATATATTTTCTGAACTCCCATCATTCTGAGGAGGAACTCTAGGTCTTCCATTCTGCTTTCTGGTTGGCAGGTGATGGCAGCACTGGGTTCTTATTTAGTGTTCACTTGGGAGAGGGGCTCTCGGACTGCCTCAGTGGCCTGAACACCAAGGGGCGACAGCTGCAAGGCCACAAGACTGTTTTCTTGACAAACTTTGGTTGCCATCTACTTCCCAGGCAACTTTCTCTGAGTCACTGAGTATTTGGTACATGAGAAAATAAATTGGCTTGAGGTACACAAACTAAGAATGGGTGCAATTTTCTAGGGATTATACTAAGGGTTTGTGGGATTAACTTTCTAGTGCAAAGATCTATCTTGGCATATGTTGTCCACATGAAGTCATTCACCCTCTTGAACAATCTTCTGTTTTGTCTGTTTTTTTAAAAACATGTTTCATGAGTTGGCTGTTTAAAATAAGTAGCAGGAAAATTATGGACTATTAAAAAATAGAAGCTTAATGGAAAACTACATTAAGTAGGTTTTTAAAAATTAAGTCATATTTATTCAATATTCATATTTAATCTGTAGATTCTGGTTATATGATATATATTTTGCTGCACTTCACACTCAAAAGTTTTCAAAGGAAAACTTAATATCTTGTCCCCCAAATTGCTCCTGTTCCTAATTTCTCTATTTCTACCATCTCTTCCAGCCACCTAGATTCAAAGCTACAGCATTCCTCAAATCCTACATCTCGCCTGGTCACTGTTTCTAATCCTCTTCCAAATCTGGTAGATTGCACCACTCCATATCTCTCACACGGAACGTCAGCATGCCCCACTCTAGCCTGCTCTACCCAAAACGTTTTAATACTTCATTAGTGCCTGTGAGCTGTGTACCTGGGTAGTAAAGGGCCTTCCCGGTTGGGCCAATGTCCCTTTTGAGTCTGTCTTCTTGCTACTACTTGTAATCTGGTCTCAATAACAGTAAAACCATAACCCCTAACCTACATATCCCTGTACTAAATGACCCCTCGATCACTGTTCCCTCAGTCTGGAAGTTCATCCAACCCTCCAAAGGCCTCTCTCCCAAGAAAATCATCTAAGATCACCCTGACCAGATACACCCTCTCTCTTGAACCCCCACAGCGTGATGCTTGGCCATCTCTCACCCTGCGTTCCTTGCAGTTATTTATGAACTCGATATGGTATCCTCCTCGCCTTCTCACAGGGCTGAGGGCTGAGAACATGTCTTACTCTTGCCCAAAGCTTCTGCAGTACCCAGGACACTGCCTTACATATAGTATAAGCTCGGTACATTGAAAAATGTATAGTTTCTGTATAAATAATATACTATTGATTGAGGTGAAATATCATGGTCCCCTCTTTTGTACCCATTACTGTCAAACTCAAGCAAATGTCTGTCAGCCTCAAAAGATATCACAGTAATGTCATAACAGCCCCTCTTAGAAACCATAGTCATCAGTTAATCCTTGACCATTGGCCCATACTACATGCTTCATTGCAAAGCATTTCAGTTCTTGGTCTAAAATACTTCTAGCTCAATTTCAAAGATGCTTATAGTAAACTCTTTAGTTACAACTGGGAATATATATAAAGGGACCTGAAAAAAAGTAATACCTAACATTTTTAGAAGACCTACTCTTACAACATTGATATTGGTGACAAAAATAATAAATGTATTATTGGTTTAAGAACTGCTTTTCTGGGCTTCCCTGGTGGCACAGTGGTTTAGGAATCCGCCTGCCAATGAGGGACACGTGTTCGATCCCTGCCCGGGAAGATCCCACATGCTGCGGAGCAACTAAGCCCATGTGCCACAACTACTGAGCCTGCGCTCTGGAGCCCGGGAGCCACAACTACTGAAGCCCGTGCGCCTAGAGCCCGTGTTCTGCAACAAGAGAGGCCACCGCAATGAGAGACCCATGCACCGCAAGGAGGAGTGGCCTCCGCTCGCCACAGCTAGAGAAAGCCCGCGGGCAGCAACGAAGACCCAATGCAGCCAAAAATAAAAACAAATAAATAAATAAATTTAAAAAAAAAGAACTGCTTTTCTAAAGTAAAAATGATATGAGAAAGGGTGAGCATGATGGGTTTTTGTAGTTATTGTTTGTTTTTGTTGGTTATACTATTCCCTTAAAGTATCTGACACTCAATTATAATGTTAACTTTGGAGTTTTTTGGTGGGTATGTCAGCATGCTTTCAGATCTAACCAATGAAACCTCCAACTCAAGTTGCCTTAAAAATAAGTGAACATTTATTACATATATATGTAATATATATTATTAATAAAAGCATTTATTATCTAACATAACAGGAAGTAGAGTAGCTCCTCAAAACTGATGATTCAGTGGCACGTGACATCTCACGGACCAAGCTCTTCACATATCTCTACTCTGTGTCCACAGACTCCAAACCACCCTAAAGCTTATTCCTCTTGAACTTGCTCTTAGCAACAACTGGAGCTACCTACCTGCTTGCTTGTTCACTCCCAGTGGGAGAGGACAGTATATACTTTCCTAACCGTGAAAGAAGAAAGTCTCTCCTTTCAGTCTGATTGGCCAGTTTAAGTCAAGGACCTACTCCAGGACGAATAGTTGTCCCCAGGGAAACACCAGGCACAAATCTGCTTAGCCCTCAGCTTCTAGAATAACTTCTAAGAAGGAAGATAGAATTTCCATGGTTGGCTAAGGGTAATTAAAACCATTTTGGGGGAGGTGTCAATTATGAAAAGCAAGTTGACATTATGAAACATAAAACAAAGGAGGAGTTGAACGGATGCTATTAAGTCACAATTGCAAATATGGATTGGTAATTATGTTCAAACAACAAAGACAATTGCCTTAAGAAACTACAATATTTCGAATATAGAATTTTTAAAGGATTTGTATGTTCACTGAGTGAGATTTTGTTACAAATAGGTACCAACATTTCTCCAACAGAACCATCACCAACAAGGAAATGGGATTTATTTAATGTAGGCTGTAAGTTTTATGAGGTCAGGGACCATGTCCCTCTTCCTCAGTGCTCTATCCCTATGCCTAGCAGAGGGCCTGGCACAGGTGAGATGTTCAGAAAGGTTTCTTTTTGAATAAATAAACAGTAAATAATTTGCACTAGAACAGGGCATCACATTGAAGAGGAGGCCTGGGTGCCATATTAATTTAACTCAAAAAGATATCAAAGGCAACTTTTTATAGAACCAAACTAACTCAATAAAGCAAAACCACCCGGTAAGCTGCTGTCATGCTCGAAGTGAAAGATGTTCTGTAATCCCAGCAAATGTCTGTGCTAATGTTGTTCAAGAAATATTATTCTTCTATCTATGTCTTTAAAAAAGGTAGAACTCAAACCACTTCAAATTATCCTTATAGGAAAGCTGAGCATTTGAAACACAAACCCAGCTTTCATCTGGCAGCTGCAACTATAATATTTTATTCTCACAAGGTCTCCTATCAGAAGCCACTGCAGACATTCCCACAAAGACATCGCACAATGTGAGGGCCAATCAAACAGAATGTGGTCTCCTAGATTTCCCTGTAGTTTTGATAATAGAGAAAAGAGGGACTAAACCAAAGCTTTCCCCCTCCAAGCCCTCGTCTTTCTGCAGACTTTCTGGATAAATGTGCCCCAGCTGTCGCACTGACCTTCCAGGACACTGGTACTTCCCACTCCCAAATGCCATGAAGCAGTCCAAGAAAGCATGCTTCTCTAAATTTGCCTTTTTCCAACGTTCCTGTGGGAAGAAAGCATTTTTTTTCTAAATCAGTCTTATATAAATAAGCTTAACTTTATTTCTCTAGGCTAAAAATGATCTTGTACAGCTAATCCTTGCATATAAAGTTGCAGGGTTGTTGGTAATTTTTTCCAACCTGTTATTAATATCAGCCACAATTATGTTTTTGGAATGGGAACTAATAAATAAAAAGGTTTAAAAAGAACTTTGATAAGTGGTAAATGTAAATGATAATGTAAATCAACCACAGAATTGACCTCAGAAGAGGAAGAATATTTATAATAAGGCCTCAGGCTCCATCATAAAATTGCCCTTGGTAATAAACTTAGTAATGAGACACTGACAGCCCTCCCTGTTGGAGAAAGCTTGGTCTGCAGAATTCATTCATCTGGATGCCATTTCTGACAGTTTTACCTAAAGGCAGAGAATGGAAAATGACCTCTTAAGAGTTTGTTTAGCCCTGTAACTCCCCAGTTCTAAGAAATAGCAGAACACAGTTTTAATTTGGTTCATTTTTAGTTTCGTACTCCTTGGAAACCAGTAACAGAAGCAATTGTCTAAAGAACATGAAATATGGCTTCTATCGGAACCAAGCATATTTTAATATGGCTTCTATCGGAACCAAGCATATTTTAATATGGCTTCTATCGGAACCAAGCATATTTTAATATGGCTTCTATCAGAACCAAGCATATTTACTTTTAACATGTCCTGCTGGTTTCAGTCAAAAATGTATTTTAAAGTTGGTGAAGCTTATTCCAAAAACTTTTCTATCTGATTTGTAAATGTTATGACATCTATATTACAGATCTAGTCTGTGATTTGTAGCCTTAGTTACCGGAGAAATATGGCTGCTTAATGATATAGCCCTAGTTAATTTATGAATTCATACTCCTGGCGGAAATCCAAGGACAATGTATACTGAAAGAGACAACTTACAGGCTTGAACAGGTCAGGTTCAGGAAAATACTTTGGATTTCTATGCAGCCAAAATGGAGACAACATCAACAAGTCACCAGAAGGAACGGTATAATTCTGTAACAGAAAAATGGTTCCAAGTCATGTTTGGAGATCTGCTTTAATGAGAGCTTGGGTCATTAAAAATAATCCTACAACCATATTACCATATTAGAGAGAAGACATATACATCGTATAATCAATGGTGAGAAAATCCCTTTCCTAGATGGATCATTTCTATTTTCCAACGTAGGCAATTACTGATTTCTAATTCTGATGATCAGTTATACATACATATATCTTTGGTTACATGGAGGAAGATAGAGATACATGTGAAAATTTTAGACACTGGTCTAAGTCCACTGTAATGCAGCTTTTGATGTTTGATATTGGAGTTTGCAGCAAGTGGTCTTGATGATGGAAACCACAGTGGATTCCCAGGTTCTAGAACAGAAAAAACGAACTCTGAGACAGGACACTGGCCATACTGGCCCTGAGAACAGGGGCAGTGAATGTTCTGTCTTTGGGGATGCGGATGGCAGTGGCAGGGCAGGGGCAGTGGATTCTGTTTGTTTGTTTCACTCTAGCAGCAGCTGTTAGGGCAGAAAGAAGTTGAAGACAACTGCTTAGGAAGACATAGGACAAAGCAAGTGTTGTGGGCTTATTGGGTTGGTTTCACGTTTGAGGTCTCAGTGGTTGTGAAACTGACGATAAACAGTATGTTTCCTCAAGCAGCAGAGTCTGCGTGATCCTTCCCCATTCACATTATAATAGCTTTTCATGATATATAAACTATACCAAGGACTAAAAACTATTTCACAAAATCATCTTTACATCGCCTTGCTCAGGAACCAGAGGACAAAGAGATCGCTCTTTGCCTTTGTGAGATCGCTAGAGAGCTACCATCTCTACTGAGGTGAAGACGTTTTATTAGTAACTCCCTTTGCCACGCGTCAGAAGCCACATCTGTTTAATCCTGCGTAATTTTGAAGCGTCCTCAAGATATCTGCAAAACACTTACTTTAAGTTTACGTATCTACAACAGTAGCATGTTCCAATTGAAAACATGTCTTTTTGTGTGGGCAGGGAGTGGAGTATGGGGAGGGGCCATCGTTTTTTAACCCAAGAGAACCCCTGTTGACTCCGATGGTTGCTGAGTATTGCTTGAGGTTGGTAATTTCAGTGCCAGGATTGCTGGAGAGAGTCAGGTCAAGATAGGAAGAGATGGAGACTTTTGCTCATGCCCTCTTAGCATTTTTAAAGTGGAAAAGACCTGTGAGATCCCCGTCTTGTGTGTTTGTTCTACCTCTGCTGGAACTGAGGCTAGAGGGGTCATGATTGGCTCTGAAATCAGGTGGGGAGGGCCGTGATATGTCTAGGGGCAGCCCTGGGCCAGGCATCCTGTCAGGGCAGCTGCTGCCCTGCCCCTCCCCCCACCCTCCCCACAGCCCTCTTCAGTGGCTGCTGACCTAGGATCGTGATGTGGAGATGCTGACTGCTGCAGCCTACAAAGCAGGGTAGCAGAGGAAGACTTCAAAGGCGGCCTCGGGAAGAGCATTCACACTAGCAACAGGGAGGAGACCAGACAGAAGTTCCTGGTGCAGCAGCAAATGCCAGGCGGGCGAGTGGCAGAAAAGGGTGTGAGAGCTGGTTGTATCAAAGGAATCCTCTGAGCAAACGGACATCGTTATGTCTGGGCCAGACGGTCCTGTCATTGTTAACATGGCACATGAAGAGAAAGATCAAGAGGGAGACAAAACAGTCAGAGGACCAGGGCATAGATCACTAGGAAGTGGAAGTCACAGCTTCCCTGTGTTGGCAATAAAGACACCTGTCAGGTAGACAGAAGTGAACTTGGCCAGCCCACCCCACAGGGATGCTGTGAGGCCAGATGAACTTCATTTGCTAGTCCGGAGACTGGCTTTTCTTGAAGAGGGAAGAGAAGAAGGATTCTCTGTTGTAACTCAAGAAGGATGCTAAGACCAAAGTGGGTGCAAGGAATGCAGACTCTTACTTCAAGAAAAGAGGAGTCCTGTAAAGGCAAAGCATCCATCAGAGGAGCCCCAAAGCACATTCTTTCTCTCTAGCTCTCGGCCAGGAGCTTGGTTGGTGTTAGTTGCTTAAAAAAAAAAAAAAGTACTTTAAAAATTAAAAGTATATTCTTTTGTGTAATAAAAACTGCTTTCTAGAAATTTTGGAAAATTCAGAAAAATAGAAAAAACTGGAAAAGAAAACAACAAGAGAGCTGGCAACAAGACAGTTATCAGTTGGCTAGACTTCCCTCGAGTACTTTTACCTAATAACAGTAGTTTAGCTTTGTGGTTTTTTTATTGTTGTTTTAAAATATAGTTTGTTGTTTATATATACTGATATTGTTTACATATATAAATACCTAGTATATACATATTGTTTTTATCCTACTGAATAATTTTTGACTCTTATATTGTTCACTTGATATTATAGCATAAGTATTATTTTTATATTGTATACTCATTTAAAATAATTTTCTCTCCAGTGGCTTCTTAATCAATCATTCGCTACTATTTTTGCTATAATAAATATTGCCATCCCAAACATCTTCTTCCACAAAGCATTGTTCATATAAAATCTTTTAACATATATGTTCAGAAGACATAGGAATATACATGTCCTACATCTTCTGAACATCTAAGGCTATTAATACATGTTGCTCAACTGTTTCCTCAAATTTTGTAGCAAGATATGTTTCTAACTAAATATATGAGAGAATCAATTTCATTGCCCTCTCATCTGCTAATCTGACATTTTAAATAAGTTCTTTTTGATTGCTGCTTAAAAGTTTATGTCTTTGCTGAGTATTTTCCATGTTGTTATTTTCTTCTATAAAACTTTTGTGCTCATGTCCTATCCTCATTTATCTATATATATATATTAGTCCTTTACTTATGGATCTGTGAATTCATTAAATATTAAAATTATTAATCCTTGAATTGTACTTATACTGACATTTATTCTTAATTTTTGGCTGACATTTAATTTAGGTTATACTTTAAAAAATAGGACATGTTAAATTTTGATATGGTACAGTCTGTTCATCTGCTTTGTGGTCTCACTGATTAATCCTAAACATAAGAAGCCCTCTTCTCTCCACAACAGTGGCTTTCAAAGGTGGCTTAGGGTCTTCTGGGAGTCCCAAGACATTTTCAGAGAATCTGCCAGATCAAACACCATTCCTGGGTAAAAGACTCATTCAAAGTATAGGATAGACCAATGGATTTTAATGTAACTGAGTACAAAAAATTCATTAATATATTTTCAGATTGCAACAAACTTTTAAGAAACTACCTCTGTTGAGTTTTAGCGTAGTATCAAAGAATAGCCACAGAAATATCTGAAAAGGCTAATAAAATACTCCTTCCTTTTTTGGTTACATGTCTGTGAGAGGCTGAAGCTTCTTCATTTCCATTAATAGGAAACAATATATCACAACAACTGAATGCAGACACATATATGGGAATTCAGATTTCTTCTATTAGCAAAAGGCATCAGAGAGATTTGCAAACGCTTAAAATGATGCTGTTCTTCTATATTTTTTGTGTTTTGAAAAATATAGTTATGTTTCATAAAACCACGCTATCTGGGGACTTCCCTGGTGGTCCAGTGGTTAAGACTTTACCTTCCAATGCAGGGCATGTGGGCTCAATCTCTGGTCGGTGAGCTAAGATCCCACCTGCCTCGCTCCAAAAAACCAAAACATAAAACAGAAGCAATATTGTAACAAATTCAATAAAGACTTTAAAAATGGTCCACATCAAAAAAAAATCTTAAAAAAAAACCCACACAATTATTTTAATATGTATTAGGTTTCTTATTATTTTAAAATGAATTATTAAATAAATATTTTAACAATTTCTCAGCTTTAGTTTCTAATACAGTAAATACTGATAGTAAATACTGATAATACTGATAATAAAGAGAAGGAAGGAATACAATAAACCAAAGAAACCAGAGTTTGTCCATTCTCACTTATTCCAAAAAAATATAGAAAGGAATGATTATAGGAGCAAAACTAAATATTCTGTTCAGACTGTAATAAATATCCTGTTCAGATTCCATTAGGAAAGAGCAGTGGAGAATACTTCTAGCATTCATAGCAAGGAATCTTGACCTGTTGTCCAACTGGTCAAAACATAGATGATCCCATCTGAAATGATTTTTATGATCCAAATTCCTGGGAGCATATTAATATGTTCAGCAAAGACATTTCACCTGTTTTAGAATATACTTGAAGTTTAAAAGAACCAAGTCATATGAATTTATACTAAGGAAATAATCAGTGCACAAATATTTAGCTACAGGAATGTTAATCTTTGCACTATTTATAATAGTGAAAGAATGGAAGCCACGTACATATTCAAGAACATTGAACAGATTTTAAAATTTATTTGATGTCCATATATTAGATTACGCTGTAATTCAAAATGATGTAGATGTCTTTTATTGATACAGAAAACTATTTGGGATCTATTATTAAATAAAATAAAAGCAGGTTGTGAGAAAACTAGCTTTGTGTGACCCCAATTTATTTTTTAATGCACATATTACAGAAAAAATTCTGAAATTATAATAATACCAAATGTTCATAGTGGTTATCTCTAACTTGCAAGATTCTAAGCAATTTTTAATTTCTTCCTTTAGCTTCTTTTTATGGTCTTTTTTTCCCCCTAATTACCATGCTTTGCTTGTGTAATAAGAAAAAAAAAACCTGTTCCATTTATTAATTTTAAAGTCTCAACTCTGTAGGGTGAACATCACAGTGATTAGTTTGGGCCTCCTAAGAGGAAAGGCAGTGTTTATTTTGTGTACAGAAGAAATAGCAGGTACAGGAAACACTGCACCTTTTACAAATATTAAAAAGAGATGTGAAAAATAATGAAAGGAAATGCTGGAACATTCTGGGATGATAGCAGCCTGAGTACGTGATTGTGGGGTTGCTCTACCACTGAGAGAGACATAACTGCAGCTGCGAGGGCTTGGAAGGCGCCTTGGATGCTTCTGAGCCTCATGTCCTCTAGGAAGAACATGTGGGTGTGAGGAGGTAGAAGTAAGGGACTATGAATTTTTAAAATAATTTATTAAATTGTTTTGGATATCTATTATATTTAATTAAGATTTTTTTTATTGGGAATCCATAGGTGTTGGACCTATAAAATAGCCCAGTTTTGTAAAAGGATTTTAGGCAGTGAATCATAAATGTGTTCATACCCTTGGACCAGTAATCCACTACGAAAACATAATTCAATGATAATCCTTAAAAAAGAAAATGTACTAGGCACAAAGATACAAATAATTACCATATTAAAAACAAAACTACCTAAACTCTCAAGAGTCAGGAAATAATTAAATATTTAAGCTATCAACTCAATGTACTATTAATGTGGCCTTGAAATAAATGTGAAAACTCCGTAGATGCATGAAATGTGAAGAATAATGTATAAAAAAATTTTTCAATGACAGATTTACACTGTAATGAAACTTAGGTTTCTATATTGACGTCACAACATTGCAGATACAAGGTCAAGACACAAAAATCAACTATATTCCTACAGACAAGTAATGTACAATGGAGAATCAAAGTTTTTAAAAATGCCATTTACAGGGCTTTCCTGGTGGGGCAGTGGTTGGGAATCCGCCTGCCAATGCAGGGCACACGGGTTCAAACCCTGGTCCGGGAGGGTCCCACATGCCGCAGAGCAACCAAGCCTGTGTGCCACAACTACTGAGCCTGCGCTCTAGAGCCCACAAGCCACAACTACTGAGCCCATGTGCCGCAACTACTGAAGCCCGTGTGCCTAGAGCCCGTGCTCTGCAACAAGAGAAGCCACCGCAATGAGAAGCCTGCGCACTGCAACGGAGAGTAGCCCCCGCTCGCCACAGCTAGAGAAAGCCCACGCACAGCAACAAAGACCCAAACGCAGCCAAATAGAAAATAAATAAATAAAAAGAAAAGCCCACTTTATTAAAATAAATAAAAGAATAAAAATTAAAAATACCATTTCCAAAAGCTCCAGAATAACAGAAATACTTAGGTATTAATCTAACAAAACTTGTATAGTATCTATATGCTTAAAATAACAATCAAAATACCCACTTATTTGTCAAATAACTATTCTGCATTTCAGCTAATTTCCTACTACCCAGAATATAGATAAGGCTTACTAAAAGTTCAATAACAATTATAGTAATATTCAAAGTAATAAACACATTGCTCTACTTAATTGCACCAAGTTGTTTGACTATTTCCTCTCAATACAGAATATATATATTCTTTTACTACATATATAAATTTATATATATTTAAATTTATAAATATTTAAATATATATTCTCTTATAGTCATAGTTTTAAAGTAATTGATAATTTGATTATTTAAAAGCAAAAACTGTTAAAATCTCGCTGAAACTAAATGCTACAATCTACATAAGATCAGTTAAACTATGTTTTTTTTTGGATTTAGCAAGTTGCAACTTGTATCAAATTTGGATTTTTTTGTCTCTTTTGAATTCTATTACTACAAAATTGTCTTGATTTTAATCCAAGCACTCTTAAGCCGTGGGGAAAAAAAGCTAACAAGAGCGGAGGGCTGTCTAATTATAATCTATCTGGATAATTTAGGTCCCAAATCATTCCTTTAAAAAATAATTTTTTTTGTTCTCCTGAATGATTCACCAAATATTGAACTGAACGTTTGCCACATGCACATACCTTTCATGGTGCACTTGAGAATATTCTCCTACTTTGCCCATAGAGCGGACCTCACTCAGTCACTAATTCCTAATATCAGTTTCTATTACCCATGGCATTCCTGCTATCTGTTCCGGTATCTGTGATCTGTGGTCTGAACTGTCTTCCAGTTATCCTAAAGGACTTCCCTCACGCACTCAATTCCTCAACCTATTCCAACTCAGGAATACTCATTGGTTGATTCAGCAGAGGAAACGCTATCCGACCCTCCTGCCCGACTGAAATAGGATTATACTAATTCTGATGTAGAATCACATAGCCAAAATGATTATGAAAGGCTTACGTTTTAGCTAAAATAGCTACCAATAGATAGATATCTATATTAACAAACTGGTGCTGCCCAAATCTTATTAGTAACCTATTCTAGGGTCACAGAGTACTTCATGGAACTTAAGAAATTATCTAATCATAAATGGGCAAAATAGCTACTTTTCTTCCCCAGAAGGTTCATTATTTTAAAACAAAACCAACGCTCACCAAAATTTTAACTGGCTTCAGCACTTTTCTAGTAATGACACCAGGGGCTCTTAAACGAATGGTTTCCAAAATACACCATTTAATTAGAGGGAGTTTCTTCAAGTCATCCTCAGACACTTTAATCTTATCTTTACCTGGAAAGAGAATTTCAAAAAAAAAAAAAAAAAGATGGACTTAAAGAGGCCAGAAAATGATTTTATGTAAGCTATATAAGTTAAATACTGTCTCTGAGATCAGGTGTTAATATTATTATTACTTTTGCATACCAAGTTTAGTAAGTTATTGACTCTTTTCATCATTTTCTTCTTACCAAGATAAAATGTATGGCATATAAAACTAAACCAATGTTGATTACTGTAATGTAATGGATTGGTATCCAACCTTGGTTCTCACAGTCCTGTGGCTATCAGATGACTAAGATAGTCCCTGTCAGAAAGATGTTCAATTTTTACTCATTTCATTGTTTCTTGTCCAAATTCTCATTCCACTTAAGGAAAGAGCAATAAAAGATCGGCATCAAAAGTACGAAGTAAGAGATCTGAGAAGCCACCTGACTTACTACTTCTATCTCTTCCCTGCTGATTTGTTTTTGTTTTTGCTTTTGCTTTTTAATCATACATTTCAGAAAGCCCAAAAAGAATATTAGGAAAGGGGTGATGGGACACATGTATTTCATCTGGAATGATGAGCTCTCTAAACACAGTTACATCAAACATTCCTACTGTAAGTTGCATACCTTAGCTAATATTTAGATTGAAGTCACGTGGAAAAGGATTGCGGTTGATCTTTCTATGGACCAACATATGGTCAGGGCCTTCAGTCAAATGAGACAGTTTAATTAGTGATATTTCAAGTAAAATGTTTACATTTTGAAAATTAAACAACTCAGCTTTCAATTTTGACAGTATTTGCTTAATAAAAGTCAACAACATGGTCAGTTTAAGTCAACTTTCACATTTTCCCCCCAACTGTACTGGGCATGAGTGGATGAGAATGGAATGTGGGTCTCCAGCCACATTTCTCTTTGACTCTGGATGAGGCTTGTCCTAAAGCCAGCCCATCCTGCAGAAGAGGGTTGGGTGGGTGCTGCCTGGGAAACCTTCTCTGTCAGTACAGGTGGAATTCCTGAGGCGTCAGAAGCAAATGTTTCTGGTTAGTGGAGTCTGGGAACTAGGGTTTTTGAGCTCTGGTTCTATTAACTCCCATTGGGGCGTCTATACACTCCATTAAACTTGACAGATTTTTGAGCACTGAGCAAGAGGCAGGAGTTGAGTCAGGCTCCACCAGGGTTACAACAATGAAGGCATTCTTGCAATACACTCAGTCTAGGAGGTGAGAAATAAACACACAGTTAACAGGTACACCATGCAGGCAAGGAAACCGTTCTATGAGATATAAAATATTTGAAGATACTTAAAAGCAGGGAAGGTATTGAAATGCAGGATAACAAATTTTAGAAGACAACTTAAAAATGTGTGAGGGGATCTGAGTTTCTTTTAGAGTGTACTTGAGTGTAAAAAAAAAAGAAAAAGAAGACCATTTGTCTACATGGCAGGTGACCGACAACCTATCAGAAAACTAAGGAAAACTCTCCAAGGGAGAAATGGCAGATGGGACTTTTAAGAACAGAAAATTCAACTTTATGTCATATACTCAATTTTAAGTTGTTTCTGGCTACTGTGTAATTTTCCCTTTCCTTGTCCTATATTTTTTAATATTTTAATAAAGTCAGCTAACACATACCTTAAGTTAACACTTGGGGAAATAAAGATCTGGGTATGTCCAGGAAGCAATGCAGTATGGTAAAGAGGCAGAACTGCAGAAGAGAAAATAGCGGAAGTGGAGAAATCAGGAAATGCGAGACTGGAAGTCAAGAGAAACTCCGAGAGGCACAGGCCTCCACTTCTGGCTGCCTCCATCACTTCTCCCTCCAAAGATCCCTAGAACTCTGCGAGGGAGTTCAGACCAATTTCACCTTTATCTTGGAAACCAAGGTGACCCCAGCAAATGAGGGCCCTTGCCGAATGGACATTACAAATAAATTAGCAGTAACCTACACTTCACATTCTAAATCTTACTTTAAAAAAGGTTTTTTCTCTTTAAAAATCTATTTAGCGCATCTACATTAGACAAATTCACCAAACAATCCCTCTACTTATTTTTTGTATTTTACTTTACTGAAGCTATAGGATACAGAAAATAAATATTTCTCTAAGTGATCACGGATAAATGACTACCATGGGTCAGATTTTGTGTTTGAAATCAGGTCTGTGTGACTCCAAAGTGACCAACCTATTATGAGACAGGCATAATTCTGGACTTGAAAAAGTTTGGACTCTGGTAATAGTGAAGTTTCTGACTTTCTTTTGGAGAAAAAGTTTTTTATGAATTATTCTTAGGAGACTAATTGAATTATAAAGTTCAAAAAAATGTTTTGTATTATACAATAAACAAAAGCTTGTTCTGAGTTGAAAACAAAATCTATTATGACCTACAAATGTAGAAGAGATGTAGACTACACTTGGAAAATAAATGTTTTGAAAAAATATTTTTAGTTTCTCAAGTCCCAGTGTGATGCAGGAAAAATAAGGTAGTATTCTCAGACTAGACAAAGAAAAAGAAGATGTTGTTTTCAAACAACATCTTTAGGTTAAAGACCTTTCTTATTATAACTCTTAGAAATGGCTCTGTACCCATACTGTACATATTTCAATGCACATCTGTGGTTTGTTCTTCCAGTGCTTTGACTCTAAAATTAGAAGGCTCCACTTGGAAGAATGCCAAGGTAATCATCGAAAGGGCTAGGGCCTAATGGAGATGGGGACCAGTACAAAAGGCAGCCAGGGAAGAAACCATGGGTGATTTGGGGTAAAATTCAGAAGCCATCTGTTTAATTCTTGGCACAAATGCAATAAAAGTCAAACCAGGGGCTTCCCTGGTGGCACAGTGGTTGAGAGTCCGCCTGCCGATGCAGGGGACACAGGTTCGTGCCCCAGTCGGGGAAGATCCCACATGCCGCGGAGCGGCTGGGCCCGTGAGCAATGGCCGCTGAGGCTGTGCGTCCGGAGCCTGTGCTCCGCAACAGGAGAGGCCACAACAGTGAGAGGCCCGCGTACCAAAAAAAAAAGAAAAGTCAAACCAAATCATAGGATATTTGAAACCAAATGAAAGAAAGGATGAGTCTTGAGTTCAGAAATAGCAAAGAATGTTTCTAAAATATTCTGTATAGTTTGGGGTTTCCGCAGGTATGATGACAAGCATGTTAGAACACAGTAACTGTAATTTATATTTGTTAAGGACATATAATAGATTAAAATTCTACTACTTCAACCATTTATTCACTCAATATATATTTGCTTCATATCTGTTACATGTTAGCCCAAGCATAGGTGCTGTAAGAGATAGGAAGAGAATAATACTAATTTATTGACCATCTAATGTCACCAATATGTTGGACCACTTCATTTATTCCTCGTCACAATCTGCCGACTATCAAGTTATCATGTGTCCAAGGAGAAGCTTGAAAGTGTCAGAGCAGCCTTCAAACCTATGTCTGTCTACACTAAAAGCCCTTACCCTTGCTCCCTGGGTCCCAGCACCTCCCCTACGAGGAGAAACGAATAAGAAAGACACAGTCACTGTTTTAAAGGAGCTTGGACATAAGGACACAAAATAATATCTGGATACAAATAACTATAATATAAGTTTCATAAGAGAGGATTTGAGTCTCAGTAGCATTCATTCCCTCTTGCCTAGGGCTAGAGTTTCAGCTAAGCCTGGAAGGATGAGTAGCACTCACCCAGGCGGAGAGAAAAGTAACTTAAATTCCAAAATTAATTATAAAAATATGATTTCTTGGACCTAAAAAAAAAAGGAACATGAATCAAACAGGATCACTAAAGCAGGTCCTTTGTTGAGAGATGACTCCTCTGTCTTCTTCATATTTCAAGCTCCCTCCCCTTCACACACACACACATTTATTCAATAAATAAATACATAAAATACAAAAATTCTGTTCCTATAGTCCTGAAGTAACATTATATCAAGATTTAACTGATCATTTTGGGAAAATAACCCATGTTTTGCGAAAAAAAAGGAGAATGACAGGCATTTGCCGAGTCATTCATACTTTTGGAGACATAATTCTGAGGAGATTGAATCAGAAGGTGGGGATGAATACTGAGGAGGCCGTGTGCTTCCCCACAAACGAAAGACAGGTGTATGTCTACCAAGGGACACACAGAGAAGTGAAGCAAAGAATATACTCTACTGAAATTTAAAGAGTGCATCCCTACACATTCTACCACCTCTTTCTTTACTTTTGAAAGCAGGGATTCTCAGTTCTGTTTGCTGTTCTATACTGTGAGGTTGTCTTCCTTCATAGACGTTGTCTTTCATATTCACAGAACAGCTTATTTAAAATGTTTAAAATTAAGGTGTGTGCAAAAGGTCATAGGACACATGAAGGACAGTGAACTGGGATAAAAAATGCATGCGATAAAGGCTGAAAAATAAAGAATCTGATGTAATAACCTTAAGCAATGATTCCTACCAAATTTGGTCATGAAATTTGCTTTCCAAATTTTATAATAATTTTGCTAAAAGGCAATATCAGATAACAAAAGTTGGTGTTTATACTGTTATTTGGGGAAATGATGTAACAGCTTTGAAAAAGTCCAGCATTTCTATGATTTCTCTTAAAAAGCAATGAAGCAGAGACATCAATTGCTGACACAGAATAACAGTAGGAAGCTAGTTTTCTGGCGTATTTTCTCAAGCACAGACCTCAAGATAAGCTCCTGAAAAAAAAGTCAGTTTTTAAAGAACAGAGATGAAGCTAAAGAGAAATAGTAAATAAAGAATTTACAGTATTCCAGAGGAATATAAAAGAAGTATCTTACATCCTTTCCTTCATTTCAGGAATTAAAAAAAATTTGAATATGATAAGTGATGTTCAAATATTCAATTAAAAATTATATCTCTATTCCAGAGATATTTTCATATATTTACAAAACTGCTGTTTTCTTCTAAGAAGAAACCTACATTCACTGGAAAAGGTTAGCACATCTCAGAAAGAGTAAGAAAGGATAAAATGTCCTGAAGTAGATAATATCATTTACAATACATTTTATAT